CATTGACATCTGAGGGTGAAGCTCAAGAGATACCCCTTTGTCTGAGTGGATTGAGGTTCTGGGCAGCTCAAAGGCCTACTTAGGAGACCTGTTCAGAGAGAGCAAGAGAGAGAGAGAAGATGGTGTAATCTGGTGGTGGCCATTAAATGGCTTTAAAGGGGGATGAGATACCACCATGGAGGAGATGCCTACCATGAGCTATTAGTCTTGAAAATTCAACATTAGCTGTAGGGGATGGAGAACATCCTTCCAATGTTCTGTGGGGAACTCTGGGGGCATCAAAGGGACAGATCTCCAAGCTTCTCTTTGCAATCACCATAAAGGTTGACCTCTGGGAGAAACCAACTGTTGGACTAAGAAGGACCTTGACTTGGTTCATCTGAGCTTGTTTCAGGGTGTTTGGAAACCTGGAAGGCAGATTTGCCATTGAACACAAGAATCTTCAACTTTAATTTAATTCACTCTAACTCATGCTACCAAGGGTGGAGCTCAAAGGAAGACAGAGACATGGGTTCAAATCAAGCACATTTTACTTTATTGGAAGACACAGAGAAGTGACATTTAGAGGCACACAAGACTTGGTGAAGGCTTGTTTTATATATAAGCAAGGGGGGAACAGGATTTGGAGTATTTTAAAGCAAGGATGGGAAACAAAGAAAGAGTAGGAGAAGTCCAACAGAGTCGTAAGAGGTCTTCCGTGCCAATTTTATCCATCTAAAGGCAAACGCAACCGGTTTGTCAAAGATCGATGCAGTCCAGAACAGGGCTCAGATACGCTTTATCCAATCTTCTCAAATCCGTTTTTTGGTCGTGGAGAGTCCAGGGGAATTTAGCAGGGGAGGTTGCAGGGCAGAGAGCAGATGCTGCCACGGTGTCCGAGACGTCCCAGGCGGCCTCCGAGGTAGCCAGCACCTAAGCTTCCGATACCTCCAGGGGCACATGGGGTTTGGCCTCCGACGGCGACGGGCTCACAGCTGGCGGAGAGGATGGGACCAGGGATGGTGACCACAACTGCAGGTGGCTGGATGGTCACCTCGGATGCTGGGATCTGGTTGATACAGGAGGGGACGACTCCGGCCAAGGTGCCCAGGTTTCTTGAGCTTTCAGCCAAGGCGCCAGCTCCATAGCCGTAGCCCAAACTGCGGCCATAACCCAAGCCGTAGCCCAAACCGTAGCCCTGACCCCAACCCCAACCAAGACCTCTGGAACCAGCTGATCCAAAGCCAACAACTGGGGCGGAGGCGCAAGAGGGGACAGCACAAGAAGGTCCACAGTAAGCCATGGCTGGATGGATGAGCTGTTGGAAGAAGAAGAAGAAGAAGCATGGGTTTTGTGATTCACACACAGCATGAGAAAAACAAGAAGAGACACTTCCTGGTATCATGGATAGGTGGCCTTCAACATACGACCACAACTGATTCTGCCATAAATACATCTAGCTGCCAAGCACCCAAATATTGATCACATGACTTATGATGGTCATAAGTCTGAGGATCGGCCACAAGGCACTTTTTACAACAACATCGTCAGGAATCCTGCAACGAAGTTTAGTCTGCCGTTCGGTGGATCACAAAGTGGACCTCTTTTATTGGACAGTGACTTCCCACCTTGATGGAAGGACCCTAAGACGTCTGTTCCACAGTTGCACCAATCTAGAAGTTTTTGCTAATATTCAAATGAAATATAAGCAGGTCTTTCATTCTGAGATCAAGCGTGTTTTCTGAAAGCTGCTTTAAGGTCAGAATGAAATATTTTTCTAGGCTCTTCCTAAGAGGAGGCAGAATTGTTCCTTCCTTCCTCCCTTCCTCCCACCCTCCCTCTCGCCGTCCCTTCCCTTCCCTTTCTCCTCCCTCCCTATTCCTCCCTCCCTCATTCCCTCTCTCCTTCTCTTCTCTCCCTTCCCTCTTACTTCTCTTTCTCCTCTTTCTCCTCTATCCCTCCTTCCTTCCTCATTTCTTTCCTTCCTTCTCTTCCATCCTTATTCCTTCCTTCCTTCTAATCTTCCTCTCCTTCTCTCTCCTCCATTCTTATCCCTTCCTTCCTCCTTCCTTCCTTCCTTCTTCCTTCCTTCCTCCTTCCTTCCTTCCTTCCTTCCCTCTAATCTTCCTCCCTTCTCTCTCCCTCCATTCCTACCTCCCCCTTCCCTCCCTCCCTCCCTTCCTTTCTTCTTTCCTTCCCACACCATTCACGACACAAAGAGCCATAACAGCCTAGAAAGGCATCTGAGATGCAAGGGACTTACCAGAGAGACTCTTAAGGAAGCAGTCAAGGAGGAGATGAAGCTGATGGAAGCTCTCAGCATGAGAAGCTCTTTTATACTGTTTTTCTGTCCCCACAGCTAGTTTAGAGAGACGCCCCTTTTGGCTCCAGGGTTTCATTTATGTTTGTGCACAGTCTCATCAAACTGCCCAAAATTACTTTAATAATAGGAAATAAACATGAGTTTGAAGACTTAGCATTTTGTCAGTCCCACAAGATGCAGTTAACACTTTGATCTTTTTTCTTTCTTTCTTTCTTTCTTTCTTTCTTTCTTTCTTTCTTTCTTTCTTTTTCTTCTTCTTTCTTCTTTCCTTTCTTTCTTTCTTTCTTTCTTTTAAACTCACATTATTTCTAGCCTTGCTGAACGCAAAACAGCATCCTGTTTATAATTTCAAATTTCAAGATTTTGTTCAATTATTCAATGGCTGCGGACAATATTTTCTCCTCATCCTTGTTGCATCAGGAACCCTGATTGAGCATCAGTAGATTCACTCATCTGGTCTACTTATAATAGCAATATTCAACAAATATTTATTTGATTTTGAGTCAGCCTATCCATTCAGAAGATAGAGGAGATTGTGGAGAGAAAGGGAGAAAAAGAGAGTGTCAAAGTGAGGGAGAGAGAGAAAGGGAGAGGAAGAGGGGGGGAAGAGAGGGGGAGAAAATGGGGGAGAGAGGGGGGGTGAACAAACAGGCTGCTACATAAGGTTTGGAACAGGGTGGTAATCACTTACCTTCCCTACCAGTTCGCAAATATGTGTGTGTGCGTGCACACATGAAACTCCGTTCGCACACGCCATCTTCCATGCATGAGCAAGGCCTTTTGAGCATGCGCAGAATGCCAAAAATGTGGGAAAATGGGATGTCATGATGTCCGTGTGGGTGAGCAGGGCATCCTGTAGTCGGCCCTACCTGTTCGCCCGAATTGGATAGAACCGGCTGAATGCCACTACCAGTTTTGGAAGCTTTCATAGGGGGCCTTCCAAGAAATCCTGAATGGGCACCTCTCAGAGTGATGTAGTAGAACATGTACAGAACATGTACAGTGGGAAAAGGAAGGTCCCTTCCATTTCCGTGGTTCTAGAGAAGAAAGTGGGGTTTTGTTTTGTTTTGTTTTGTTTTGTTTTGTTTTGTTTTGTTTCGTTTCGTTTCGTTTCGTTTCGTTTCGTTTTTGAATCAAGTTTTATTGAATGTTCCCCCCACATTCACCAGCATCTTTTTTTTTTTTTTTGAACAGAGTATTGGCCATATCTTATCTTATACAATTTTTCAAGTTCAAATACATTTTACTCAATTACAATTTTGCCGAAACCTTCCCTTCCCCCCCTATTTTTTCTTTAATTCATATCTCAATATTTCTATGCTTATTTGTACAAACAACATCTTCATTCGCTCTCAAATTCTAATTTTCCTACTTGTTCACATTTATTCTCTTTTATTTATTAACAATTCCTCCTTTATCTTAATATTTATATATGTGTTTGGGGTTGCCTTTCTTCCATTTCCTCTTTTTTGTTATACAGCAGTCTTTCTTCTCAGTCTCTTCCCTCTCCCTCTCTTCCTTCCTTCCTTCTTCCTTTCTTTCCCTCCTCTCCTGCTCCTTACTACTTCCCCTTCCTTTCTCCTCCTCTTCCTTTCTTCCTCCCTGACTAACCCTCTCTCCTACTCTGATTTCCCCTCTCTTCCTTCCTCCCCTCTTTTCTATCCCTCTTTCTCCTTCCCCTTATCTTCCATCTCTCTACTTCTTCTTTCATCTTTCTTTATTGCTGTATACATTTTCAACTTAATATTTTCCAATATGGTGTCCAGGCAACCCCGACCAATAAAATGGGGTTTATCTACCCTGCTAAGCCATGTTAACTAATTTTTTTTCCCCGAAGAAGCCATAGTTATCAGAGTTTGAGAACTTGTGTGCCAACAGCTGTATGTGATCTTCACTCTGCTTCAAAAATATGCTCCGGAACTCATAGGTTTCCATGGCTCGATGAAAGCTTAACAAAGTTGGGTTGGTTAAAATATTTGGGTTAGGTAGTTCAGAAAGGGAGAACCACCATGGAGAAAAGTTCAACTCTGGAGATGACAAGACCATCATGAGAAGGTTGAACACTGTAGTTCTGGAGGTGGCCTTCCATTAGTGATGGGACCTCCAGGATGCTTCTCCTTCCAGTCAACACTGCAGTGTAGAGTCAACTTGGAGCAGGTAGCTTCAGGTTGAAAGTGAACTTGGGTGAACTGGTTTTGAACAAAGACTTGAAAATACTATTTTTCTATTTTCCCATGTATTGGGTAGGTTCAGGGATGCCTGCAGGTCACAAGCTCTCCGCCTTGAAGTCAAAGGTATCCTTGAGTCGCCGATGTGCTGATCCACAAAAATGTTGTCATTTTCACAGAGTCACTACTGAGGACAACAAACCCAGCTTTGATCTTGCCTTCATCTTCCACCCCATAGGTGTTGCTCACTTCCATGATCAGATAAACAGAAACATCTGACTTGCATATTTACAAAGGAAAAACAGAAGTAGTAGTAGCTTATTTGTGGTGACGTGATTATCGCACTTCACAAAGGCAATGTGACAGTTTGTGCTGAGTGGAGTCCTTTTTGTTTCTTTTGAATGCCGGAAATGCAAATTGTAGGAAGCCTAATGAAGTTTTACGAGTTCTTTCTCAATTTCCTGGGGACGCAGAGAGAATGGTATAAAAGCTCCCTCTGCTCTCTGGAGTGCCATCAGCTTCTGGTTGACTCTCCTATCTTCACTACTTCTCTCCGAAGCAGGTAAGAGAGAATCTTACAACTCAGAGAATCTACTCAGAGAGAATCCCTCCTGGTTGCGAGCAGATGAGGTAGATCTTCAAGCCAGAATCTGAGATTCTGCAAGATTTGGACCTCATCAGAGGCTAGAATGCTTCTGAAAGCTTCTGCTTTCAGAATCAGCTTCTGGAGTTCTATTTGAAGGAGTAGGAAGGCTTCATTTTGAGTTTCAGAAGATAGAGGTCAGAGTTTGGAGAGAAAGGGAGAAAAAGAGAGTGTCAAAAGGATGGAAAGAGAGGGAGAGGGAGAGAGAGAGAGAGAGGAACAAAACCAATCCAATCTTTTTGAGACAGCTAAGGTAGATCTTCAAGTCAGAATCTGAGGCGCTTCAAAATGTGGACCTCATCACAGCCTAGAATTCTTCTCAATGTTTCTGATTTCGAGAAGACTTTTTTGGAGCTTGCTTGCTATTTGATTTTTCTTGGCAAGTTATAGAACCAGACTGCCTCTGCTTTCTTCTACAACCTCTTTATTTTTTAACTTCTCACCATTAGCAGTGGAAGCCAGAAGGTCTAGGGCCATCCAAAGTGGACTTCAAAAATGATTGGGGAGATGAAAGAAAGCCAAGTTTTTAACGTCTAATAATTCTTCAAATTATTCTCCTCCCCTTTAAGAAAAGGAAGGAATGGGTTTCCGGCTCTGCCTTCCAAAGTTCATGTCCGTACTGGTGAGCCTACTGACCATTTTAGGTTGAGGAAGCCTAGCTGGAGAAGGTTAATTAGAGGTTACCATTCATCTCAGTTCTAGCAAATCAAATCCTCTTAAAGCTATCCTGTTGGTTGACCGAAGAAGCAAGGGGTGCGATGGTAAAAGGGAACGAATGCAATTCTCACAATCTCTCTCTATTTTGTACAATAGACTCACCTCACAACTCAACACCATGGTTGACTGTGGACCTTCTTGTGCTGTGCCTTCTTGCGCCTCCGCCCCAGTTGTTGGCTTCGGATCAGCTGGTTCCAGAGGTCTTGGTTGGGGTTTGGGTCAGGGCTACGGTTTGGGCTATGGCTTCGGTTATGGCCATGGTTTGGGCTACGGCTACGGAGCTGGTGCCTTGGCTGAAAGCTCAAGAAACCTGGGCACCTTGGCCGGAGTCGTCCCCTCCTGCATCAACCAGATCCCAGCATCCGAGGTGACCATCCAGCCACCTGCAGTTGTGGTCACCATCCCTGGTCCCATCCTCTCCGCCAGCTGTGAGCCCGTCGCCGTCGGAGGCCAAACCCCATGTGCCCCTGGAGGTATCGGAAGCTTAGGTGCCGGCTATCTCGGAGGCCGCCTGGGACGCCTCAGACGCCGTGGCAGCATCTGCTCTCTGCCCTGCAACCTTCCCTGCTAAATTCCCCTGGACTCTCCACGACCAAAAAACGGATTTGAGAAGATTGGATAAAGCGTATCTGAGCCCTGTTCTCGACTGCATCGATCTTTGACAAACCGGTTGTGTTTGCCTTTAGATGGATAAAATTGGCACGGAAGACCTCTTACGACTCTGTTGGACTTCTCCTACTCTTTCTTTGTTTCCCATCCTTGCTTTAAAATGCTCCAAACCCTGCTCCCCCCTTGCTTATATATAAAACAAGCCTTCATCAAATCTTGTGTGCCTCTAAATGTCACTTCTCTGTGTCTTCCAATAAAATGAAATGTGCTTGATTTGAACCCATGTCTCTGTCTTCCTTTGAGCTCCACCCTTGGTAGCATGAGTTAGAGTGAATTAAATTAAAGTTGAAGATTCTTGTGTTCAATGGCAAATCTGCCTTCCAGGTTTCCAAAGACACTAAAACGAGCTCAGATGAACCAAGTCAAGGTCCTTCTTAGTCCAACAGTTGGTTTCTCCCAGAGGTCAACCTTTATGGTGATTGCAAAGAGAAGCTTGGAGATCTATCCCTTTGATGCCCCCAGAGTTCCCCACAGAACATTGGAAGGTTGGTCTCCATCCTCTGCAGCTAATGTTGAATTTTCAAGACTAATAGCTCATGGTAGGCATCTCCTCCATGGTGGTATCTCATCCACCTTTAAAGCCATTTAATGGCCACCACCAGATTACACCATCTTCTCTCTCTCTCTTGCTCTCTCTGAACAGGTCTCCTAAGTAGGCCTTTGAGCTGCCCAGAACCTCAATCCACTCAGACAAAGGGGTATCTCTTGAGCTTCACCCTCAGATGTCAATGGTTTGGATGAACCTCTCATAGAACACAAGGACTTAGACAGAAGGTCAGATCCAAAATCATGCAGAGACGCCACTGATCTTCTCTTCCAACAGTGACCCCTGCAGGTTCTTCCCTGTTTGAACCAAAACTTGGAATATTTGCCTTGATTAGGAAATATGATAGAATTAGAATTTATCAACGCTAGAGATACAATCCATATTCTGCTCCAGATGGGTCATTTAGCCGAGTCTTTTCCGTGAGGAAATTTTTCAGAGAGGGGAAGAAATTGGATATGTCAAAAGGTTCCATTGTGGGCCCAAAATATTCAGGGGGTCTCTAATCCATTGCATATATAATTCTTAATTTTTTAAAAAAATCATCTATTTAGTTATTCATTCATTCATTGATGGATTGATTGATGCAGTCAAGCAGTCAGTCATTAAATCAGTCAGTCAGTTAGCGGAACCTTCTAGGGAATTCCAGAAGATTCATGAACTCCAGAATATTCCATTCTTCTTCCAATCCTTGTTTATTGAGCTGTTCCATCCAACGGCTCAATGTTGGATTGAGCCGAGTCTTTTCCATGAGGGAATTGGATATGTCAGTAGGTTCCATTGTGCCCCCAAAATATTCAGGGGGTCTCCAATCCATTGCATATATAATTCTTAATTATTATTATTGTTTAAATCATCCATCCATGTATTTATTTATTCAGTCAATCAATCAGTCAGTCATTAAGTCAGTCAGTCAGTCAGTCAGTCAGTCAGTCAGTCAGTGGAACCTTCTGGGGAATGCCAGAAGATCCCACGAACTCCAGAATGTTCCATTCTTCTTCCAATCCCTGTTCATCCAGCGGTTCTAATAAATTTAGCACATCGCAAAAATGTAGCAGGTCCTTCATTCAGTGATGACTTTTGCCAACTCAGGGTGCAGTTCCTTAACACAGCCTTTCCATGAAGAGGCTCTACCTAGTGGTCACCCCTGAGGGATCTGGGAAACATGGTCTCTTGCAAAGTCCATACCGTTTTTGCAGGGAGCCCAAAACTGAGGAAAGAACTGAAGTGTTATCCTGAATTCTATGTTCCCAAGCTTTGATCGGCAATCCTGGAGAACAGCTGGTAATAGGACTTCATTCCTGGTGAAACCTTTCTACTCTCTCATCATCATGATTGTCTACAGTAACAGTGAATCCCACAAGCTCTTTCTATCTTGAGTTGTCTGTTCTGAATAATCAAGGCAACTTCCCTCAAGCTCTCATAACAAAGAGCTTAGAAATAGCACAGAGATACCACTTGCTCTATTAACAGAACGACACAATAACAAGAGTTGGGAGGGACCTGTGAGGTCTTCTATCCAACCCCCTGCTCAAGCAGGAAACTGTAAACCATCTCAGGCAAATGGCTGTCCATTCTCTTCTTTAAAAACCCCAGTGATGAAGCACTTACAACTTCTGGAGGAAAACCATTGCACTGATTCTAAATTGGATCTCTCCTGGATTAGATTCCATCTGTTGCTTCTTGTCCTACCTTCAGGTGCTTTGGAGAATAGATTGACCTATTGTTATGAGATGCCCTTCATCACCATCTTTGAGGAAGGAGAAATTTCTCTTTTTAAACAACCCTAACTCTAACCCTGTTTCATCTTTATGAGGCATCTTCAGAGGTGAGTAGCCATATGTTGTTCTATGGGAATTGAAAGCCCCTTCAAGGAATTAAACTCATTAACCTTCATGCTTTGGATAACTATATTTCATCAATTACATTTTAGAGGCCATCTAGATCAGGCAACCTTTACTTGTTACTCTGGTTTTGGGCCCCTAAGAGATGGTCCATGAACATCTTGATTGTACCTTCCCTTCATGATTCTGAAGCTCGTCCTATAATGGACCTACGCTGATCCCCTTAGGTTTGCTGACTTGAGACTAAATATCTCATGTTCCTTTGGCCCATCCTCATAAGGCATGTCCTCAATCTAATAAATCAATTAGAATAGAGCTGGAAGGAACCTTGGAGGTCTTCTAGATCAACCTCCTGCTCAAGCAGGAAGCCCTATACCAAAAGAGACCCCCATGTCTTCCTGTCACCTTCCCCTGAACCTTCTCCAAATGGAATATCCTTTTCAATATGTGGTGCCCAGAATTGTACAAAGTTCTCCAGGTGTGGTGTCAGCAAGGCAGAATAGAGGGGCAGGAGAACCCGAATTGTGATAGTCCTTCTAGCAGCTTTGACCCAGACCTGGCCCAGTTGACATGGATCAGTGCAAAGGGCAAACCCAGCCAATGAGCTGCTTCAACCACCATGACTTATTCATCAGCAGGGCAACCTTAGCCACCCTTCTCTTTCCACCCCTACCCCACCCAGGCTCCATGGAAAAACCCTCCACAGCCACCAAGAGAAGACTTCACCCATCGTCAAATGACAACCAAGGAGAACGAGTAGTTTGCAATGCAGAATCACTTTTATTCAGGTGCAAAGAAAGAACATTGAGAAAAACCATCAGATGCGCCAAGTAATCCAAAGCAATCCACATTTCCTGTTTGAGAAATAGTTTTAGAGGGCAGGGAAGGGACAAGGTCCTAAATGTCCACAGATCTTCTTTCCTTCATAACTTCATTCAAAAACCCTTCCCTTATCAATTTAGCAGGGGGCTCATTTCACAGGAAGGCATGGTACTATCTGCTGAAGGAGGCCAGGAGACAGAAGAAAGAGACTTGTGAAAGATAGATGTGGGCCAATGTAGGCCCCAGACATGCCTTAGCCAATCTTCTAAAATCCGGTTTGATCATGGAGGGTCCTGGTTTCCTTAACAGGGGAGGTTGCAAGGATTGCAGATGCTGCCACGGCGACCGAAATGTCCCAGGCGGCCTCCGAGGTAGCCGGCACCCAAGCGTCCGAGACCTCCGGGGGCACATGGGTTGTAGCCTCCAACAGCGACAGGCTCACAGCTGGCGGAGAGGATGGGACCAGGGATGGTGACTATAACTGCAGGTGGCTGGATGGTCACCTCGGATGCTGGGATCTGGTTGATGGGTTTGGGGATGACTCCGGCGAGGGTGCCCAGGTTTCTTGAGCTTTCAGCCAAGGCGCCAGCTCCGTAGCCATAACCTAAACCAAGACCTCCAGAGCCAAGACCTCCAGAGCCAAGACCTCCAGAGCCAGACCTGCATAGCCGAGACCTCCAGAAGCCGAGACCTGCATAGCCGAGACCTCCGGCACCAGCTGACCCGAAGCCAACAACTGGGGCGGAGGCACAAGATGGCACAGCACAGGAGGGTCCACAGTAAGGCATGGCTGGATGGAAGAGCTGTTGGAAGAAGAAGAAGAACTATGTGCATGAATTTCCTCAAGAAAAACCCTTCCTGGTATCATGGACAGGTAGCCCTCAACATAGAGAATAACTGAGTCGGAAGGGACCTTGGAGGTCTTCTAGTCCAGCCCCCTGCTCAAGCAGGAAGCCCTCTACCATTTAAGACAAATGACTGTCCCATCTCTTCTTAAAAACCTCCAGCTTTGGAGCACCTACAACTTCTGGTAGCAAGTCATGATCACACTTGGGACGGTCATTTTCAAATGCTCAAATTTGGATCCCATTGCCCAGTGGGGCAGTCCTTAAGAGAGTCACACACTTGATTTTACAACCTGTTTTGCCTTGGTCATTAAAAGAGAAACAGGTTTCCCTATTGACTTTGCTTCTTGGAAGTCACTTAGAAAGCTCATGAATTGTGGGACATTCCAACTGGTTAAGCTTGGGATGAAGAAGTAATTGTTTAGTCTTTTCTGAAAAATCTCCAGAGATGGAGAAGCTACAACCCCTATCAGATGGCTGCTCTACAGTTCTACAAATCTGGAAGTTTTTCCTAACGTCTGAATGAAATACAGGTCGCTGTAACTCTCAGTCTAAGACAAACATGTTTTCTGAATGCTCAGAGCTCTGAAAGGTCAGAGCGAAACAAGTTTCTAGGCTCTTCCTAAGAGGAGTCAGAACCTTCCTTCCTTCCTTCCTTCCTTCCTTCCTTCCTTCCTTCCTTCCTTCCTTCCTTCCTTCCTTCCATCAGATTCTGAGTACAATATATTGTAAATCTTCCACGCCACCCCATTCCATGACACAAAGTGCCATAACAGCTTAGAAGGCATCTCAGATGCAAGGGACTTACCAGAGAGACTCTCAGGGAAGCAGTCAAGAGGAGGAGATGAAGCTGATGGAAGCTGTCAATGCAAGAAGCTCTTTTATACTGTTTCTCTGTCCCCACCGGTAGCTTAGAAGACACCCCCTTTGCGCCCCAGGGTTTCATTAATCAGCAGCTTCTGCACAGCTTATTACTTTAATAATTAGAAATGAGTAGTTGAAGACATGGCGTTTTCTCAACCACATAAGTTGCAGTTGTCCCTTTGATCTTTTCTTTTCTGGTTTCGATGGACGTCATTCATTCATCCATTCAAAACACAACGAATGAAGGCATGACACATGGAAATTGTTATGGATGGACCTGGTCTATTCCTAGCATCACCACCTCTCTTTCGTGTTCTTAAAAGGTGAAGGCAACAATTGAAAATGGAAGGGGGAAAAAATCAAAACTCTTTTCTCAATATTTAAGACCAAGAAGAATTGGCATTCATCATGCCATCAATCGCTCCACAAAGTCAGGAGTCTCCCAGTGGAGGGACATTTGCTGATGGATGTCCATCAATGACTTTAAAATAATCTACTAGGATTCCTTGTTCATTTATTTACTGACTCTGGCTTGTAGGCCACTCCAGTCCCAGAAGAAACCAGCACAAAAAGAGACAAAAGCAACAGAAATAAGGAGAAGCGATTCTATAGGATATAATTGCACCAGATCCATGTCCCCCATCTCTGATCTTCACACCACTACAAATGGTAGAAACAGCCACAGTTACATGCTTCTTTGAAAACTTACTAAACTTGGGTTGGTCAAAATATTTGGGATAAACCAGGGGTCGGCAACCTGTGGCTCTGGAGCCGCATGTGGCTCTTTCACCCCTCTGCTGTGGCTCCACATTGCGTCACAACCGCCAATGTGTGACACCCACTGGCAATGCGATATATTGAGCTTTTCGACCCACCAGTAGGCCAACCATGGATAAATCCAAGAAAAGAAAAGTTTCAGAAGAAAACAGAACATTTAATTCAACTACATAGGCTAGTTTTGTGGCTGCTCAAGAAATAGTCAGGCATGGGAAGGGTTTTTGTGGCTCCCACTGTTTTCTTTTCTGTGGGAAAAGGGTCCAAATGGCTCTTTGAGGGTTTAAGGTTGCAGACCCCTGGGATAAACCAAATAGTTGGACAGAGGATCTATCATGGAGAAGGTTGAACACTAAGCTTCTGGAGGTGACAAGACCATCATGAGAAGGTTGAACACTGAGGTTCTGGAGATGACACTCCATGGGTGATGAGACCTCCAGGATATCACTGCAGTGTTGGATTTATCTACCCTGCTAAGCCATGTTAACTAACTTATTTGAACAAACCATCATTATCAGAGCTTGAGAACTTGTGTGCCAACATCAGTATGTGATCTTCACACTTCTTCAAACGTGCTCTGGAACAGACATGTTTTCATGGCTCCATGAAAGCTTACTAAAGTTGGGTTGGTCAAAATGTTTGGGTTAGATAGTTCAGAAAGGGGGGCCATGATGGAGAAAGTTCAACTCTGAGGTTCTGGAATTGGTGATTGGACCTCCAGGGTGCTTCATCCTCCAGACATTACTGAAGAGTAAAGTCAACCTGGAGCAGGTTGCCTCAGGATCAGAGTGAACTGGGGTTACTGGTTTTCAACAAGGCCTGGAGAACACCATTTTTCCATCTTCCCAACGTATTGGGTAGATTCATGGATATCTGCAGAGTCATAATCTCCCCACCTTGAAGTCAGAGATATTCTGTGCTGATTCAAGGAAATGCTATCATTTTCGTGGAGTTGCTACTGAAGACAACAACCCAGCTTTGATCTTACCTTTATCCCCGCCTCATGGCAATGGCACATTTCCAAGATCAGATAAACAGAAGCATTTGACCTGAAGTTGGCAAACTTAAAAGGATGCACAGTTCATCCAGTAGCTTATTTGTGGTGACATGATGATTGTACCACAGAATGCCAAGGCAACAATTTCTGCTGAGTGAAGAACCTTTTTTTTTCTTCTTTTAAATGACGGAAATGCAAATTGTAGGAAGCCTAATGAAGTTTTATGAGTCCCAACTTCCTGTGGACGCGATCCGAATCGTATAAAAGACGTCTCTGTTCTCTGTAGTGCCATCACTTTTTATTTGAAGGAGTAGGAAGGCTTCATTTTGAAGAGAGAGGTCAGGGTTTGGAGAGAAAGGGAGAAAAAGAGAGTGTCAAAGGTATGGGGAGAGAGGGGGAGGATGAGAGGGAAAGAGATAGAATAGAATAGAATAGAATAGAATAGAATAGAATAGAATAGAATAGAATAGAATAGAATAGAATAGAATAGAATAGAATAGAATTCTTTATTGGCCAAGTGTGATTGGACACACAAGGAATTTGTCTTGGTGCGCATACTCTCAGAGTACATAAAAGACAAGATACATTAGTCAAGAATCATAAGGTAGATATCATAGAGAAGACCGAAGCCTCCCATACCTCCAGGGGAACATGGTGTGTTGCCTCCAAGAGCGATGGGCTCACAGCTGGCATAGAGGATGGGACCAGGGATGGTGACCAGAACTGAAGATGGATGAATGGTCACCTCAGTTGCTGGGATCTGGTTGATGGGTTGTGGGTTGACTGCGGCCAGGGTGCCCAAGCTTCCTGAGCTTTCGGCCAAGGCACCAGCTCCGTAGCCATAATCTAAACCATAGAGAGCCCTGCATAGCTGAGACCTCCACAGCCGAGACCCCAACCAAGGCCTCTGGCACCAGCTGATCTGAAGCCAACAACTGGGGCAGAGGCACAAGATGTCACAGCACAAGAGGGCCCACAGAAAGGCATGGCTGGAATGGAAGAGCTGTTGAAAGAAGAACCATGGATTTTGTGATTCACAGAGAACTCAAATTCCCTCAAGGAAAGAAGAAGACTCTTCCTGATATCATGAACAAGTAGCCCTCAACATACAGAATAACAGAGTTGGAAGGGACCTCAGAGGTCTTCTAGTCCAACCCCTGCTCAAGCAGGAGAAACCTCCTTAGGAGGTTTCTAACCTTCTTAGAAACCTCCAGTGTTGGAGCACCCACAATTTCTGGAAGCAAGTCATGATCGTACTTGGGATGGTCATAAATAACGTCCTTGTTTTCAAACACTTGAATTTGGATCCCATTGCCAAGTGGTGTGGTCGTTCAGTAAGTCACACTTGATTTTACAACCTGTTTTGCCTTGGTCTTCAGGGAATTAAACTCATTGGCCTTCATGCTTTGGACAACTAGGTTTGATCAATTACATTTTAGAGGCCATCTAGATCTGGCAACCTGTACTTGTTACTCTGGTTTGTGGTCCATAAGAGATGGTCCATGAACATCTTGATTGTACCTTCCCTTCATGATCCTGAACCTCATTCTATGATGGACCTATGTTGCTCCCCATAAGTATATTGACTTCAGACTGAACATTTCATGTTCCTTAGGCCTATCCTCATAAGACATGTCCTCAAACTAATCAATCAATGAATCAATCAGAATACAGTGGAAGAGACCTTGGAGATCTTCTAGTCCAACCCCATGCTCAAGTAGGAGACCCTATTCCAAAGAAACCCCCATGTCTTCTTTGTCACCTTCCCCTGAACCATTTCCAAATGGAATATCCTTTTCAAAATGTGGTACCCAGAACTGTACAAAGTTCTCCAGGTGTCAGCAAGGCAGAATAGAGGGGCAGGAGAAGCCGAATTGTGATAGTCCTTCTAGTAGCTTTGACCCAGATCTGGCCCAGTTGACATGGATCAATGCAAAGGCAAACTCAACCAATGATCTGCTTCACCCATCATGGCTTATTCATCAGCAGGGCAACCTTAGCTACCCTCCTCTTTCCACCCCTACCCCACCCAGGCTCCATGGAGGAAACCTCCACGGCCACCAAGAGAAGACTTCACCCACCTTCAAATGACAACCAAAGAGATCCACTAATTTGCAGTGCAGAATGATTTTTATTAAAGTGCAGAGAAAGAACATTGGAAGAAGCCACCAGGGGTTTCAAACAGTGCAAAGAAATGAACATCTCCCGTTTAACAAATAATCACAGAGGCCAGGGTGGAGACGAGGCCCTTAGATGTTTGCAGAGCTTTCATTCTTCACATGAAGCCCTTGAACCGATCACTTATCTGCCATAAGTGCTTGCTGGAATGCCAGGAAAAGAATACAAGCAATGGGATAACTTAGAGTAGACGGAGCTGTGATAGCTGTATGCACACAGAGCAGGGCTCAGATACGGCTTAGCCAAACTTCTGAAATCCGTTTTCATCAGGGATAGTCCAGGTTCACTTAACAAGGGAGGGTGCAGATGCTACCTCTGCGCCCATAAGAGCAGATGCTGCCACGGCGCCCATAACGCCCCAGGCGGCCTCCGTAGTAGCCACCATAATTTCCAAAACCTCCGGGGGCACATGGGGTGTGGCCTCCGACGGCGACGGGCTCACAGCTGGCGGAGAGGATGGGACCAGGGAGGGTGACCACAACTGCAGGTGGCTGGATGGTCACCTCAGATGCTGGGATCTGGCTGATGCAGGAGGGGGCGACTCCGGCCAAGGTGCCCAAGTTCCTGGCGGATTCACCGAACCTAGCGCCACCGTAACCGTAACCGTAACCGTAGCCGAGACCGAGACCTCTGTAGCCGTATCCCCATGGTCCACAGCCAGCTGACCCCAGTCCGACGACGGGGGCGGAGGCACAAGATGGGATAGCACAAGATGGTGGACAGCAAGCCATTTTTGATAGGACAATTAAGGTAGGTCTGAAATGAAACATTACACAACCAAGTTGTCCATGAGAGGAGACAAAGAATGTCAAAGAACAACAAAGACTCATGTAACTCCCATGTAACACCTCTCCTGCGCGAGCTGCACTGGCTCCCGGTGGTCTTCCGAGTGCGCTTCAAGGTTTTGGTTACTACCTTTAAAGCGCTCCATGGCTTAGGACCTGGTTATCTACGGGACCGCCTGCTACCACCAATAGCCTCCCACCGGCCAGTACGCTCCCATAGAGAGGGGCTCCTCCGGGTGCCGTCGGCCAAACAATGTCGACTGGCGGCCCCCAGGGGGACAGCCTTCTCTGTGGGGGCACCTACGATCTGGAACGAGCTCCCCCCGGAGATACGGAGGATCCCGGATCTTCGCACCTTCCGTCGCGCACTTAAAACGTTTTTATTTTATCAAGCTGGCCTGGCCTAAATCATCTCCTCTTTTAAATTTAAATTTTAAACATAAATTTTTAATCTGTTTAATTATGGGGTATTTTAAAATTCAGCCTAAATTATTTAATCTGTTTTAATTTATTTTAGATTTTGTATTTCCTGTGTTTTATCTTCTGGCTGTTCACCGCCCTGAGTCCTTTGGGAGAAGGGCGGTATAGAAATTTAATAAAATAAATAAATAAATAAATAAAGACTCAGAGACAGTTCCAGAGGATGGGATCGTGTGCACACACACAAACATCTGTTTATTTGTATCCTGTCAATCTTCTGTCTGGTTTTGCACAAGCGTGATTAATGAGATGATATCCCATCCTTTAGGTGCACAGAGTAATGAGTCATAAAGTCATTTCCCCCTCTTCCTCCTCCAACTTAACCACGCCCTTTTTTTTTATTTTAATAAGACTGGGGCCAAATTATTTAATATATTTTTAAATTGCTTTTAAATTTTTTTTGTATATATGTGTTTTAGTGTTGGCTGTGCACCGGCCTGAGTCCTTCGGGAGAAGGGCGGTATAAAAATTTAAATAATAAATAAATAAATAATAATACCGAAACTTAGCATCTTGTAGGACTGCAAACATTAGATCTTCAACTGACTCCACCAAGGAAACCCAGCCTTTGTGATTCAAAAAAAAACCAACCCAACCTAAACTAAAATGGAAGGAGATGTCCATCTGGAACTGCTCTTGAGTTCCAAGTTCTGTGAAGATCCATTACAGGAAAGAACTTCCAGAGGATCTAGTTCAAATGATCTGCATTTTTCTGGAGACCGCTTGAACGTTTTTTGGAGAAGCTCTGAGAGCTTCTGAAGTAGAGACTGTGAAGATATGAAGTGTCCTTCTATGTATCCTATCCTTGTTTATCATTGATAGACATTGTCTGTCCTCTAGTGTCTTTGTTAAAGGTAAAGGTTCACCTTGCACATAAGTGCTAGCCGTTCCTGACTCTAGGGGGCGCTGCTCATCTCCGTTTCAAAGCCAAAGAGCCAGCGCTGTCCGAAGACGTCTCCGTGGTCATGTGGCCGGCATGACTTAACACCAAAGGTGCACGAAGCGCTGTTCCCTTCCCACCAAAGGTGCGCCCTATTTTTCTTCTTGCATTTTTTACGTGCTTTCGAATTGCTAGGTTGGCAGAAGCTGGGACAAGTCACGGGAGCTCACCCCGTTATGGAGCACTCAGGATTCGAACCGCTGAACTGCCAACCTTTCGATCGGCAAGCTCAGCATCTTAGCCACTGAGCCACCATTTCATTCCCTCCAGAGGAGGCTTCTAAGATCTTAACTAAAGCTGAGCAGAAGAGATATCCTGGGCTCAAATTCCTCTCCCTTCAGCTGAACCCCCAAAAGTTATTCTTCTCCAGATCTTTCTTCACAGTGACTGCTTCTCCTAGCAAGAGCTTGGAGGGCTAATCCAGCCCCACTCTTATCCCATAAGTACTCTGCAGTTCTAACTCTCTAAGTTAACCTGCTCCAGTGAAGAAATTGACTTACCTGCTCAGAGGAGGAGAAGTAGAAAGGGAGCAAGCTGGTCAGAGAAGCTGTGAAGATCTCCCAGAGTAGAGAGGGCTTTTATACCGTTCTGGTGAAGAAGACTTCCCACAGGGAACCCTTAATGAACCGCCAACGCAGTCTGACTCATCACATGTCAAGATAATAATTACAATTTTAGTTCCTTAGAATGCCGTGTGGGTGTTCCTCTATTTTTTGGTTGTTTGGGGTTTACGGATGTTTTGTAAAAATCTCATCTTACTGGGGTGTGTCTCACCACAGCAGGAACCACGGGGATTCGCTCTCTTCCTTCCCAAAGAATAGGAAAAGATCAGGAATTCTTTTTCTCACACTGACCTTCTTAACCCATTGTAGTAAGGAATAGGTAAGGATATGGAATATTAAATCAGGATCTGGGGTGGATTTGGTACTGGAAGGAGAAGAGAAGGATGTTGACCCTAAAGATGACATATGTGTAGCAGTGGTGGGTTTCACTTAACTTTGCTACCAGTTCGCTTACGCGCTTGTGCTCACTTCACTCATGTGTGTGCCACTTCTGTGCGTGCCCAGAGCGTATTAGATGCGTCCAGGTGGATGGGCGAACCGGTAGCAACTCACCACTGATGTGTAACCATATTATTGTAGTCCTTGTCTATTCTTTTTTCTTAGCTTTTTACGTTTGCAAATAAAGGGATTTAATGGTACTTCAGTCTCGCCAATCTCTTAACTGTTGAAAGTGGGGTTATAGTGATAAGGGGGAATGTTGTGTCTAGGTGGCATTCCTTCTTATCTCTATAACCCTCCTTTCAACAGTTAGAGACTGAGGTACCATTAAATTCCTTGACGAATTGATATGTACGGACTTTAATGGAAAAATGGATGCCTTTGACTGTATTTCATGGGGCGTACTACTTGGCAGCTTGACAAAAAGGAGGAGAAGGGGAAGAAGGAGAAAGAAGTTGAGGAGCAGAAGAAAGAGAAGGAGGAGAAGGAGAAGGTAAATGAGGAGAAGGAAGTCGAGGAGGAGGAGGAGAAGGAAAATGAAGAGAAGGAGAAGGAGAAAGAAGTTGAGGAGCAGAAGAAAGAGAAGGAGGACAAGGAAAATGAAGAGAAGGAAGTCAAGGAAAAGGAGGAGAAGGAGAAGAAGGAGAAGGAGAAAGAAGTTGAGGAGCCGAAAAAAGAGAAGGAAGAGAAGGAAGTCAAGGAGAAGGAGGAGAAGAAAAGGAAGGAGAAAAATCAACAAAATATCAAGATTATAAAAATTAACACGGAAGGGAGCAAATCTCCAGATTTTTCTTTCAAGGAGATGGTCTTGGAATCTTCAGATCTAACCTTGAATCCCAAGAACTCAACGCTTCTTTGTTCTAACAGGAATAGCAGCTCTAACTAGATCCTGCTCCTCTCAGAGAAATCACGTTATTCTCATTTCTCTTCCACTTCTAAAATTTACATTTTTTTTAAAAAAAAAAGAGGGGCGCCATATCCTTTGTTCAGGCTTATTCCCTTGTTTCTGCTGTCAACAGAGATTAATCAACCATTTCAAAACATCTCCGTAGCTTTCTGCTGAATGTAAGATTGACGCGAGATGCTTTCGGGGCAAGGAGTTTTACTGGCATCGATTGAAGGATGAAAAAAAAAACCCCAGAACCACAAATCGAAAAACAGGAAAAAAATTTAAAAAGTAAAAACAAAATACCCCCACCTCCTCTCCGTTTGGGGAGGTGTTGTGACACAACTCACAACCATATCATTTCCGCAACTAAACAAAGCAGAGTGGATTCGCACAACCCCAATTGTCCTAGAAATGCCAGGGAACCCCCTGAAAAAATTGTGAGATTCAACAAGTTGGTAAAAAAAAAACAATGACAGTAGTTTTTTCATCTACTGGTGTTTTTTTACTAAATATCCTTCAAGCTACATGTGATAGTTTGAATTTCCTTTAAATACGCGTTGATTCCCAGAAAAGACACAGGAATTGTCATGGATTTCCAGAATGTCGCTGAGGAACCCAAAGAGTATTGATTGATCTTTAGTGTCAGTAAGGGGACATCATGGCTCAGTGGCTCAGTGGTTGAGCTTGTCGATCGAAAGGTCGGCAGTTCAGCGGTTCGAATCCCAAGTGCTGCGTAACGGGATGAGCTCCTGTGACTTGTCCCAGCTTCTGCCAATCTAGCAGTTCGAAAGCAGGTAAAAAATGCAAGTAGAAAAATAGAGACCACGTTTGATGGGAAGGGAACAGCATTCTGTGCGCCTTTGGCGTTGAGTCGTGCCAGCCACATGACTACGGAAATGTCTTCGGACAACGCTGGCTCTTCAGCTTAGAAATGAGCACCACCCCCTAGAGTCGTGAACGACTAGTACATATGTGCGAGGGGAACCTTTAGCTTTAGTGTCAGTAAGATTAAAAAATAATTGCTGAAAGAAAAACGAAATAGAGACAATCTCTCTGGCTCAACGCTCAAGACATTCTTGGTGGGGTAAATGCCGTGTTGAAAAGGATAATAGAGTTCCGTTTGGTTTCCCCAAATTCAAGGCCCGCCATTATGTTGCACGTGGATGACACAGGTGTATCAACGCAAAAAGCTGACCTGTGGATTTTCACAAGTTGTTTAATCTGCGTGGACAAGATGTTTGCCATTCCACATAGCTGTCTTCTCTCCAGCTCATTTAAACAACCGAAGAGATCAAAAGCTTCGCCACGGGAATGCAATCTGCAATTATCCATCTCGCCGGTTCTAGTTCCCATCTCCAATTGGGCTGGTTGAATTTCCTTGGAGCCACACGTCAGCAGGAAAAAGAACCAAGAAAATAAATAGTTGACAGAATGACATTCCAGCAGTCAGATGCTTATCTCCCCTAGAAAACTTTGAGATAGGATCTTCTTATGGACAGGAACTTCCTTCCAAGTCAGCGACTACTCGGTGGAACTGAAGAAATTCCAAAGAGTATTAGAGCAGAGGAAGGAAATTGGGCCCCTGGGTCAAACATTGCAAAAAAAAAAAAAAATCCTGCTTTTTTGGCACCCGGTTCTCCTACTGGAAGAATGAGAAGGAGCTTTCTACATCTCCTCCAAAGATGGAGGGCATTTAGGAGAATTAAAAATTTATTGAGTTAGGGTGGTGGTGGGTATTTTGTTTCTCTCTTGTGAGGAGGAGGAAGGGAAAGAGGAACAGGAAGAGGAGGAGGAGGAGGAGGAGGAGGAGGAGGAGGAGGAGGAGGAGGAGGGAGGAGGAGGAGGAGGAGAAGGAGGAAACTGTGAGATCCTTGGTGGTCTCGGAGTTTGATGGTTTTCCTGTAGACATTTCATTACCCATCTAAGTAACATCATCAGTTATAGAAAGGAGTGGGGTTTGGGTGGGGAGGGGGAGGAGGAGGAGGAGGAGGAGGAGAAAACTGTGGGATCCTTGGTCTCTGAGTTTGGCTGTTTTCTTGCAGACCCAACTGGATAACATCATTAGGGCTGGAAGGGAAGGGGTTATGTAGAGGAAGAGGAGGAGGAGTGGGAGGAGAAGGAGAAAGAGAAGGAGAAGGAGAGAGAAGGAAAGAGAAGGAGAAGGAGAAGGAGAAGGAAAGAGAAGGAAAGAGAAGGAAAAAGAAGGAGAAGGACTAGGAAGGAGAAAGAGAAGGAAAGAGAAGGAGAAGGAGAAGGAGAAGGAGAAGGAGAAGGAAAGAGAAGGAAGGAGAAGGAGAAGGAGAAGGAGAAGGAGAAGGAGAAGGAGAAGGAGAAGGAAAGAGAAGGAGAAGGAAAGAGAAGGAAAGAGAAGGAGAAGGAGAAGGAGAAGGAAGGAGAAGGAGAAGGAGAAGAAGAAGGAGAAGGAGAAGGAGAAGGAGAAAGAGAAGGAAGGAGAAGGAGAGGATGATTTAGTTAGGATAGAGTTTCCAAGGGCCACATATGGACAACTAGATCTTTGTACCCCAAATCTGACTCCAGGAGCCCCTGAAGCTGTCTCTTCCTCTGCAAAATGGACTCTCTCCGTTTCACAAGATACGTAGCGTAAAACAACCTGTTTTAATGTGGTCATTCCTTGCAAGAGTAAAAAAAAAATAAAAAAAATCTACTCTCTTTATCCATAATGTCCCATATTTTTTTTTATTTGTTTCATGTCAGGGACATTTTGGAATTATATTAGAGGGAAAATTCACTAGGTTTTTTTTTTTTTTAAAGTTTGTGTCATTTAATGAACCCAGAAATGATTGAAGACCTTCGTTGGGATGTGAGCTCAAGGTAAAGGTAAAGGTTCCCCATGGACATATGTGCTAGTCGTTCCCAACTCTAGAGGGCAGTGCTCATCCCCGTTTCAAAGCCGAAGAGCCAGCGCTGTCCGAAGACGTCTCCGTGGTCATGTGGCCAGCATGACTCAACGCCAAAGGCGCACGGAAAACGCTGTTCCCTTCCCACCAAAGGTGGTCCCTGTTTTTCTACTTGCATTTTTTACCTGCTTTCGAACTGCTAGGTTGGCAGAAGCTGGGACAAGTCACGGGAGCTCACCCCGTTACGTGGCACTCGGGATTCGAACCGCTGAACTGCCGACCTTTCGATCGACAAGCTCAGCGTCTTAGCCACTGAGCCACCACGCCCCTCTGTTTTTAATTCTATTATCTGTAAATTAGAAAAGGTTCGATGTTTGGGTATAGCCTCAGCTTGATCTAAAAGAAAGAGGTGTAATTAAATGCCACGAAAACTTTCAATGTAGCCACCCCCGACCCCACTCCAAGCTCAATAATAATTGCTACCGAACGGGGATTTAAAGGCGAGAGGCGAATTCTTATTATTACGAATAATAATGGGAAGTCATAACCTACAATGCAGATTTAATTGCTCTTCAATGGCCAGTAGCTTCCTCTTTTGAAGCCAAGTTATGCCTTGCAATTCACTGACTCAGCCCAAACAAAATTGTGTGTGTCCATGGGAAAACGGTGTGTGTTTACACACCGGGAACAAGAGGTTCCACCCTCCGTAACTACTGGTGAAGGGTGGAGATGGCATACCTGAGCGGAGAAAAACAGGAGATAATGTCTAAGATAGTATTGAAAAATGATTAAGTGAGTGGGAGGTA